CATAAAATGTTCATCCTTAAAATGAATTTCAGATACAGAGATCGTTTCCACAACTAAACACAAACAGAATAAGAAAAGGGKAAATACTCACTGGGACCACTGAGTTGGGTGAGAAATTGGCGATTCCAAGTGGAGAGATCATAGGCTGCGAGTCCATTGAATCTCTTCCCGCGCACATCGGAAGTAACGACGAGCAGCCGATTCCTCGGCCGGTCGATCGAAATCCCTAGCGACGCATTCCCCCGCAAATCGGGATCATCGATCACTCGAACTTCCTCCAGAACGGTCTCCGGCGACTGCCCGCCGTCGGGGACGGCGATCTGGCCCACGCCGCCCTCCATGAACCCGACCAAGAATCGACGGTTGAGATCGTCCCATTTCGCGGTCTCTCTRAAGAATCCGCTGCTGTGGTAGTAATAAACTCGCGAGGGGGGCGTCGCGAGCTCGAGCGAGATGAGAAATGCAATCGGAACGGCGGAAATCAGAGAGAGAATCAGAAGGAATCTGGTGGTGCAGATGGCCATTGCTACGCCGCGGACGCACCGGAGACGGCGGAAGGCTGATCGGAGATGGGCGGTGGGCGGTGGTGGTGGGGTTCATGTTTTAAATGTTTTTGAGGGAGATTTTGAAGCACACCTTCGAGGAGTGAATTTTGAGCATATGAAAAACGTTTTTTCTCTGTTTCTGCTGATACCTAATTTCTGCTCAAATTCTGAGAAATCTGCAATATTTTAATAACAAAAAAAAAAAAAATGATCAACTTGCAAAAGGCAAAAGAATCACCTACACACTCTTATGCTCCATCTGGAATTTGTAGGAAATCATTTTAGGATTTTAAATGATGGAAATTTGAAATGCTTAATGATTGTAAATAATGTATAACCTATGCCTTTAATATTTTTTAGAATATATATATATATATTTTAATCCTAAAAATTAATTAATGACTTGGCATATTAAAATTTATTCTTAAATAATGTAAAGTTGTGCCATCATGCGTAAAAGGAGAAAAGAAAAGGTCTTGCCTGTTTTAATTTAAATCTCTTTTGGTTGTAAATGCTGTTACATTTTCTCCCTTTCTTTTCTCAATATAGCCAGATCATATTTAATGTAAAAACACTTGATTTATTAACGTGTATTAGTTCATTAATTGATATATACCTCAAACTAGAAAGTTGTGAGTGATTTCATTATATGTAACAATTTAAATATGTGTAGCTTATAAACATATTTGGATTTCATTAATTTATCGATATACATATATAAGAAACTTCATTATGTTTTAATAATATTTTTCACGATATGAACTAAATCGTTACAAATTTTAATCTACAGAGACTAAATTGTTACGAACTAAATTTAATCTATTGTTAAGAATTTAATTGTGTAGGGATTAAAACATTATAGACTAAAGTCCAATAGTTAAATCATTATCTAAATAGGGACCAAAATTATCTTTTAATCTTAATTTTTCATTTGATTCTCTTTTTAGTAATCCTTTGATTCCATTTATAACATGACAAGTTGCATGTCAAAGAGAACGTAATAAAAGCATAAATAAATAAATAAGTATTTTGTAGGGATGAAATTAGAGAGATAAAAACAACATAAATTGAAACTAAATTCGGAAGTTGATGTATTAAAATGGTAATTTAACTAAATTTTTAAAATGATAAGTACTAAATTGAAACTACATTTTAGACCGTAATAACCAAAATTTCAATTTAACCCTAATCAAAACTAGGTTAAATTACACATTTAGTTTATGGGCTTTTAGATTTGTATCAAAAAATTCCTAAATTTTAAAGAGTCTAGGTCCAAATTTTCATTTTGTATTTAATAGGTATATGGGTTTAGGGTGTAAATTCCTAAATTTTTAATTTTGTGTTTAATAGATGATTGAACTTTATAGGTTATCCACATATTTAACATTTTTTACATTCACGTATCTATCAAACACAAAATCGAAAAATATAGAAACTTATTAGACACAAATATTAATTTTATGCCTAATAAATCTATTAGCTTAAAGTTTTTTTTGAATATGTCAAAGACCTTATTTTTAATACAACAAATTGAAAGTATGGAGGTTTTGGTAGATCTCATTTACTATGATACTCAAGTTAGCAAATATACTAAAATTTATTAGACAGATTAAAAATTTTAAAACAATTTATTAGGGGAATGATTAATTTTAAGAATAACGYAATTTTAAAAATAAATTATAAAAATAATGGAGATTTCAAAGTAATAAGAAAATAAAAAAATTTCAAAATTGAGATAGAATTATTAATCGCGGATGGGATTAAGGCGGGAACCCTTCATACGTGAGGTGGATATGAGGATGAAGCAATGCGTACATTATACTCAATTTTCTTAAAATAATTTTTTTAATATATTTATATCTATGTCGTTTTTTATTTATTTTACATACAAAATATTATTTATTTATTAGTATTTTAGCTATTTTGAATATATAAGTAATAGTATAGATCCACGTGCATACATCATATCCAACAAC